AACTATTTATACAATAATGAGCAAAAGCTTGAGGCACATTAGTTTCATATCCATCATTCAACACCTTAACTGAGACGTCTGATTGACCCTAAATTCAATCTGCAGCAGGACAACGAACCCAAACATCCAGCCGGAGCCTCCACAGAGCCCCGATCTCAACATCCCAGAGTCAGTACAGATTACATTAAGAAACAGAAGACACTGAGACAGACTGAATCCAAAGAAGAAGAAGTGAGACAAATTTTCAGAGAAGCCGAACAACCGGCCTGACTTAACAGAAGTGTTTTAATGAGAACTGGTTCTGTTTAAAGACACCAGGTGCTCACAACAAATATTTAATATACATTGTTTTGTTTTGTTTTTTTTTTGTTTTGTTTTTTACTACTGCAGCGTTATCCAAATCTGAGCTTAAAATTGGGATATTTATTTATAATATCTTTGTTGATTTGTGAAAATTGCTAACGAAATAACTGCTTGCATCAGATTCTGTAAAAAAACCAGACGCTTTTGCTTCCTCAACACAATTGCAAGCATAATAAAGCAGCTGCTACCGATGGTCACGTGACCAAAATTCAAAACGTTTTTCGGGTAAACTGCAGAGCAGAGAGAAGACAATGAGAGACTGAGAAGAAAATATTCATAATGGAGACACAATATACAGAGGAGCAAGTTGTTGGAAGATACATTCAGCATGGTGAAGCATCTTTCTAGATGTGCAGAGTATTATTAAAAAACATTTGAAAAGGTTGTAAACAAGTAAATAGGTAAATATCTGTAGAATGAAGAGTCACCATTTTTCCCACCAAAAAAGTGTTGCACATCCTAGTTTCAAGTTATTACATTTTTGTCAAATAAAGCAATTTTTGTATTTCCTTTTTTTTTTTTTTAGGACTTATCACATTACAACTGTCTCACACTGCACATAGGATATTTCTTGTTCTCTCTCTCCTTCTAGTCATAGCTGTGCTGTTTCCATAGAGGTGCAGGACTTAATATTGCAGTGATAAATGTGTCCACAGTGAGTAAAAATGCAAGAGGAGCAAAAAACTTCAGAAACTGTTCAAGGTTCAGAGGGTTAACGGACATCTTTAGAGTGTCCTGATCTTAATTTTTAGTGCCTCAAACTCTTTCCACCTCAGTATGTCTGTTACTTTACCTGCAACCACGTCTGATTTCTATATCAATTCACACATTTGTGCAGGATATGTGTGTGTGTGTGCATACCTCTCCCTGTGTTTCCACTCCCAGAGTACATCCAGGAAAATCTTCCCAGAGCAGCAGAGTTTCTTCGGTTTCCTCCCAGGCCAGACTGTCGCAGTCGTCCTCAAACTCACACTCTCTCCTGCACAACACACAGTCACGTCAGTTACAGGACGCTTTAGTGCTGATGTGACTAAATTACAAAAGGTTTCACACTTACAGCTGATTCAGCACCCTCTGCATCTGCTCATTGATCTGATTGGCTGATGAGCTGCACGACTCCTCATCTTTGGCCCCGCCCCCCTCGCTCTCGGACATGCTCAGTTCGTCTCCGTCTCCGGGCTTCGGCGACTGGCCGCTGCGCTTCCTGGTGCGGCGGGTCAGAGTGGAGGGTGGTGTCGGTACCTGCTGGGAGGAGATGGGTTTATTCAGCGGTTCAGACAGGGGGTTTGTGGAGGACGTTCACTGCCGCAGACGTACCTGGAAGATGTTGATCATGTCCTCGCAGTTCCTCTGCTGGGCCACATCACAGAGGCGGGCGGTGATGTCAATACGGCGGCAGATGTCCATGTCCACCTTCATAGCCTTCTCCTGGATCTTACTGTCCAGATCTGAGCGGTTCTGAGGCAAAGACACAAAAATCATTGTTTGGTTGCAGTGCAGAAAAAAACAAGTGAACTGAATGTCTTGCTGTAAACACTTAACATGTGAGATTAGATTTAAATGGATACAAATGGGGGAAAAAACAAAACAAAACATTACAGAAGAAAAACTAAAGTTGAACACTGAGCAGACTTACATTGCTGACGAGTCCTTTGAAGAGAACAAGTTCTGCCTTCAGCTGCTTCACCCTTAGAGCCAGTTCATCCTGACACACCTCGCTCTCCTGCAGGTCCTACAAAACACAAAAGGTGTGTTAGGTTTAAAAACAAAAAAACAACAACAAAACAACACTATTTATTAGCCAGAAACTCACTGACAGATGGTCTTAGCTTATCATAAGATACGACAAAACGTTTTTAATCCTGAAGGGAATTCTTTTGCCAGATATTGCTCAGAAAACCAAATTACACATTATGATGTGCAGCATCTAGTAGAAAAGCAAGAAGATAAAACTACGAAACATTACTGAAAATAGGGGTGCGCGATATGACGATATTAGATCGCGAAGGATTAGAACGATCTGCCAAAGTGAGGAAATCGTAGGGATCGTTCACATTCTATAAATTGCAGTTCTATGCTGATGCACCGACGCACCAGACGTATTACGTCGTCAACCTGACTGACCAATCATAGCGAATTACGGGCAGTGACATAATTTTCTACCTGCCTCCTTGTGTGTGTGTAGCGGTAGCCGCATGGAGAGCCATGGCTGAGGAGTTGGTCGTTAAGAAAAACTCCACTTCCATTCTATGGAATTGTTTTGGCTTTTCTCCAAATGACAAAGCGTAAACAAAGGTAATTTGCAAAGTTTGCACAGAGACAGTTCGCACGTCGGATGGTAACATGACGAACTTATTCAATCACTTCAAGGGAAAGCAACCTAAACAGTATGCTGAGAGCCAAACAGAAAGGGGACCACCGGCAGCACCACAGCCACAAGCAGCAGCTGGACCCAAACAGACAACGTTAAAACAGGCATTTGGCAAAGGCACAAGGTATGAGAAGACAAGCAAGTGATGGAAAGAGGTCAAAAATACATCGTGATGAAATTGAAATCGTGATTTTATAATAAAAAAATCGTGATATATTTCTGCATATCGCCCACCCCTAACTCAAAATGAAATAAGTAGAGTCAGAAACCGTGTAAAAAAAAAGACATTAAGTGATGATCACGTCTTGTTATACAACAGAGAAAATTTGCTTACATGGAGAGAAGCTGATTGCATCTGTAAAAAACAATAACATTTTTCATAGAAGAAGGTTTTTAATTGAGTCACCTCTTCAAGTTCAGCCACCTTCTCCTGCAGATCCATCCTGGCTGTATATTCTTCTTCCCATCTAGAAGCACACACAAAGGAGGAATTTTACACAGGTAGTTATGCAAGTACTCAGCTGCTTGTAGCATTAAAACAGAGCGAAGATGATCACATAAAATTAACCGACTTAATCATACTGTTCCTAACTGTTTTAACTGCAAAATCAACAGCAGCATTTAAAAGCATGTTATATTTTGAAAAAATAAACAGAGACGATAACCAAAATGACGTCGTTTATCAGCCAGAAACTGATTTTCAATTTTCCGTGACAGTCCTTGAACACATCATCTGTTACGTCACCATCCATCAGCACAATAAACCAAATCTCAGCCTAAAATCATGATATTTCATCAAAATCACTTCATTGTACAATTTAAAAAATCACCAAAAATAAACAGATTGCACTAGATTCTGTAAAACAAACAAACAAAAACAAAAACACAACTGTGAAGCCATGACTGACTCAGCTGCAAACAACAGTCACGTGAGGAAATACCCAAGAGTTTTCAGCTGAACTGCAGGCTGTGTTTATACAGGGCAGAGAGGAGACCAGTGTGGAAACAAATTAAAAGTGTTAACAGTAGAATATCCGTAGTATGTGGAGCCACCATTGTTTTCTAGTGTTGACAACACCTGTGAACACCTCAGAGCATTTTAGATACGTTAGACATGTTTGGTTTTGTTTTGTTTGTTTGTTTGTTTTCCAATTTTTGCAAAGAAAGAAATAAAACTTTTGTTTTTTTCTTTATTTTGCTTTCTTTAAAAAGAATTATTTAGGCATTCTAGTTGTGACACACAGCACAGAAGACATATTTTAGTTCTCTCTACTTCTTGTCATGGTTGTGCTGTTTCCATAGAGGTGACAGGACTTTATATTGCAGTGAAACATGAATCCACAGGGAGTAAAAAATTGCCAGGATAAAAAAACAAAAAAAACAATAAACACAGAGATTGAGGTTTAACAGCTCTGAGAGCATGCCCACAATAACAATGGGGTGAGATGAGATTCAGCCTCCTTATCTTGCTCTCTGCAGCTTGAAGACAAACCCTCCATAGTAACCTGACTGACCTTCACCGTCACCACCACTGTTATTACTCAGCAGGTGTTACATAAGCAGAGCCCATGTCGTTGCGTGTAGAGCACGAACGGCACGAACGACTCGAACAACACGCTGCAACACTCGGTCTCCACGGAGAGAAGACAGAAGTAAACAGCAGAGACGAGGCTGCACTGCAGGGCCTCCTCCTCTGTTATACTGTGATGTATCTTCTGTCTACTAAGAGATTCGCTCATTAAGTCACATTCTTGCAACACGAGGGACAACTTGCAGCGTTTCTACCCAGAGTTGAAGATCGACAACAACTGAATGCATTGTGACATTTGCTGCTGCTGTGAATCCTAATGACTCTGATGCAGTGATGCACAAATCCAAAGCCTATCTCTCCCCTGATACAACACTGAAGCTTCACCGCAGGGTATCCGATTATATCAAGTACAGAAAGGATGTCAGAGCTCTGAGTCACCCACAATTAAAACTGCACAAAACTCCCAGGGATCATTTTATGTAAAGTAGCATGAGCTCACTACGGCAGTCTGTCATGACTGAGTGAATGCAAGCAGAAGTCTAAAATACTAAACCTGATGATGAACTTGACAAAGAAATTGTATTTAATGTGCGCTGTTTGTGTCACAGCTGATACCCGAGGTTCATATCATCACAGATACTAGTTCTGCATACTTTAGTTCAGAAAATGACATATTTAAAATTGACTACTACATTCCTGTCAGTCCCTGCTGCAGGTCTGTTCTCCAGGTATTCTGTGGGTTGCTGGGTCGATATGCCCTTATAAATCTCTGCTGTTACTTTCATAAGGACAAAAGTGGTACATCAGCAGCCTTCCAGGATTAATCCATTATTTTTGGCAGCTGGAGGAGCAGACTACCTGTGAACATCTCTGCGTTTTCACAGCTTTGAACCCGCTCAACCTAAAGGAGACTGCTACGTATTTCTACATTTACTCTGAATCCACTCCAAACTAACTGAAAAAAACACATTATAAAAACAGAAAACAACAGCAAAGAGACACAAAACTATGTTAAGCAAATACCAACAGCCACAAAGCGGCAACAAAGAGAACAACTACAGAGATCCACAATAAGACTGGAAAGAAGATGAACACAAACAGACGTTGTTTCAATGCAGAGATAAAAACCAATAGTGAAGAGAAACAAAAGAAGCACAAAAAATCTAAAAAAAAAAAAAAAAAATGCAAAATGGACATATATAAATAAAAAATGCAAAAAGCTCACAAAGACACAAAAAGACCAGAAAACAATAGAGAGACAAAACCAAAAAAAAAGAGACACAAAATGAACACAAATAGATGCAACTCAATGCAAACAGACTAAAATCACACAAAAGACACAAAAAGGGTGCAAAGAGACACAAAGAACCACAAAATAAAACAATAAAAGATGTTCACAATACCCACAGAAAGACACAAACTGACTAGAAAGAGATTAAAACTGATTAAAAGAGAGACAAAATGAACCAATTCAAATACAATGCAGCATTAAAACAACCACAAAGCACATGCAAAATTATTTTAAAAATATGCAGAACCACATACAAAACAAAAATTAACACAAAAACAGATGTTAATTTAATACAGGGATAAAATCACTTGTAAGACACCGAAAGACTGCTACTAAATGGAAAATAGCTGCTAAGTGACAAGAAAGAAACACCTAAACCAATGAAAAAAAGCAGTGAAGAGTGCACGCAATAAACGCAAAATACTCACAAAAACATTTACAATGACAAAAAAGAGATTAAAACTAATTTAAAGACATGCAAAGTGAACACAAACAGATGCACAGCAAACAGCAAGAAGAAAGACAATCAGCATCAGAATAGAAACCAGCACATCACACATTGCACACACAACAACTGGAATAAAAAAACAACAACTCTTTGGTGTAATTTAATTTTTTTTTTAAGTGTCTTTCAAACCCGCTGTGAGGTTTCAGGTTTCAGAGGGTTATGCTTTCCAAAAGCTTGTGTATGCAGGTTTTCGCTGAGCAGATGCTCCTCATTACACTGAGTGAAACCTGACTCCAAGCCAAGAGATTTTAGGTGAAACTGATTAGAAAACAGACAATGTGTTGGATGTCGAAGTATTAAATTGGGATGGGGTATTTGAGCTGCAGTGACCAGCGAGAAAGAGACTCTCAGATATGATCGCTAGAGAGAGAGCGAGCTGATGTCCTTGTGGCTCTGATGCTTTTGTCAGTCTCAACACGTGGCTCTGCAGTGAGGCTGCTGCCTGTCATCGTATCTGACTGGATCCACAGCAGCCAGTTTGTCTGTGATGGTGTCATCGCTGCTGGATGATGGAAAGCTTCTTAAAATATCAAAGGCAGTTAAAGAGTTGAACTTTATAATAAAAGCAATGAGAAGTGGAGGATTTTGGTGCCGCTAGAATGACAGCAGGCAGCTGTGCTGAACTCCTGAGATGTGACGTCACCAAACTGGGACGTCATGAAAAGAATGATGCAAGTTAAAAACTGCCCTCTGCAGCGCCGACAGCTTTAAACTGTCTCAACTCTAAATGGTGCAGGCTGATTTAAATGCATGATTTCTTTTATAAAGAGGAAAAAAAAGAACTGTTGGATTATCAGCTTTCCAAGGGACCTTCAACTAATCGTGTTTGATGTTCATTTCTCAAATCTATAGTTAAAATCGGAACATTTCATCAAAATCACTTCATTCTACATGTCGCATTTAAAAAATTGCCAAAAACGAATCACAAGATTGAGTTAAAAGAAATTCAAATTCTGTGGTTCTTTTTCCGAATCTGTGAAGCCATGAGTGACTTAGATGTGACCAGCTGTCCTCGGTTCAACTGCAGGCAACACTGACACACAGAGGAGAGATGTCAAGTATGGAAACAAATTTAAGATTTAAGTAGTGAAATATTTATAGTATGTAGGAACCTAGTGTTGGCAACATTTGTGGGCACTTGGAAAAAGGCTGTAAATGTTGATTCCAGATTTTCTTTTCGGTGTTTGTAAAGTAAATAATCAAAGAAATTCAGTTTCTGTATTTCTTTTTTATGACTTACAGCATTTAAAACATTCTTTCTACTTCCAATCATGGTCATGCTGCTTTCACAGAGGTGCAAGAGTTTAGATGCTGCAGGGAAAATGAGCCCACAGTAGAGAAAAAAAACACCTCAGAACTCAGGAAATCCCTTCCATACGTCAGGTAAATGTTGGTCTATAAGTTTACCATGCCACATAAGAAATGCTCTGTCTGTCTATCCAGAGACCAAAAGTCAAACAGAGATGAAAAGGCTTCTCCTGAGATGGACCTGGAGCCTTTCCTCTGACCCCTATTCTTGGATTCTTACAAAACATGCTGAGATGACTGAAAGACTCCACTGATATCAAATACTAACCTTACAAACATAAACACATAAAGCAAATTGATCTTATTAATAAGATAAACTGAGCTTACAGCTGAGTTTCTTTTCACACGGCCTGAAGCTCAGAGTCAGTTTCCTTAAAGTGAGACAGTAATCCTTCAAAAGAGGTTTTAGTGTCTTCACCTTAACCAGACCTTAAAGCTAAGGTAGGCAAGATCATAGACAGAGAAGACATGACCTGGATTTTAAAAATCTGAAAACTACCCCTCAGGTGTCCCTCCAAAGTCACTCCTCCAGAACTTGTGAACAAGCATCGACTATAGCTGGAAGACTGATGCACAAGAAAAAAAAAAAAAAAAACGCAAATAACACTTCTGCAAAATGTCCCGCTCAACGCCGGTATAGACGAATATAAAATGAATACCATCAAACTATATCTGCTCACAGTTGGGCTGCAATGCAGACAGGCAGTGAACATATACACAAACACACAGATACATGTGGAAATGTATTGTAATGAAACAGGAGGAGGACAGAGACATAAATAGCACGGAGAGATGCACAAACACATGATCATCTGGCATGTTTTGCTGA